ATAGTTTTTTTCAAATGTGTCCACAGTTTGCAAGGGTCTGAAAGGCTATTTTAACGTTTTTTTTTTCCTGCGAGCTTGCGGTAGTTGTAAATAGCACCCGCTTTCGTCTGCGAGCCTTTCGTTCTATCATATCTGTCACATTTTACCAATAACTTGTTTACAGTTCGTTGACTGCTTCTAGTACTAAACCGATAATGACGTACCTACGCGTTTGCTCAAAATTGAAAGGTTTGAATCTGATATAAAAAACAGTTTTGGACATCTTGTGATAGTCTTTTTTGAAGTCCGTCACCGCCATACGACAGTGGAAATGGTTCAGTCACGGGGCCGAATTCTCCTTCAAAAAGCAGTGATAATGAAACTGAAGGAAACGGCGAATCGCACCGACAGCAGCATGCGTCGGTTGCATCAGTGCCTACTGGCAAGGTTTTTTTTAGTATTTCCTTGTTCATGTTATGAAAATTTTTCCGAGTTATAGAGTGTTAATTGTACTGTGATATTTTTTCAACATTGTAATTAAAATTTGGTGCATTTGTAGTCCTGTCAACATAAACCTCACTGAAAATAGCATAATCTGTGCATCTTTTTTTTTATATCCTAATATGAAAACTTAGGCAGTTCAGTAGCATCAAAAATGTATTAACGCTATCGGTTTACTGAGACTCATGAGGAGAGATCACGGCCCCAGTTATCACTTTCCAGGCATAAATTTTGCCCCATTTTTCTATTGCCTGTTTTTGATTGCAAATAAATTTCGTAGTTGAGCAGTTGTTCCATTTAGCTGCATCACTTTTCAGACAGAAAATATTTTTTGCATGCACTGATGAAAAAGAGAGACAGTCGCCTTTTGATTTATTGAACGCACACTATAAATCAAACAGCACAGTTTTAAATGTCATTATAAACATGATGAGTGAATTTTCAGAAAGCTACGAGCGTAATTAATATTCCGGAGAGTCAGCTTCCTACCGCCACTACCGGAACGCTTGATTCACAGCCGACAGCTTCAAATTTGGATAAAGCGGTCAAAAGAGAACGCGAGCGTAATACATCACCGCACAGCGACAGCTTGTTAGTGGTCGCACCATTGTTTTAGTGCTTTTTTTTCTCCAGCCAGCAAACTTGGTCTTTTTGCATCTGGCGCATTTCAAATTCTCTCGTGTTCTTACAAGACGCCAAAGGAAATCATCCGATACATCCAGCAGTTTTCCTGGTGAAGAGTAAAATAAACTTACGCGAATGCCAGCATTAACAACAGGCTGGTCAGGAGACGCAACTTCGCTCGTGACGGCCGTGGGGAGCTTGTCAGCGCCGTTGATGGCCTGAAGATGTGTGATTAACGCAGTAAAGTAAAACATCTTTTTAACGAGTCACTTGTAGTGTTCCCCGTTTGTTTCAGTGCAGTGAGTGACGAGGAAATTGAAACTTCGCCTACACAGTCATCAAGCGATGTGCACACTGCCATAGAATTTCCGAAATATATTCGCTCGTTGCGTCTTTCAAGCGAGAAACTGAAGAAACTGGGTTTGCGAAAAGGTGCTAATGAGGCACGGTTTTCAATAACCACGAAATTTCAGGTTTGTGTGGTTTTCAGTTTGATGTTTTGGCGCAGTCTGGTCGAGCAGCCCTGAAAAATTCAAGATTTTAGCAGTAACTGTTGCAGGGTACCACGTGGTGTAGCTGCCATATCTACTTGTATAAATGGACTGAACGTTTAGTAATTTCGGATATTGATGGCACTATAACAAAAAGTGATGTGTTGGGTCATGTTATACCAGCTATTGGAGGACAGTGGGCTCATGCAGGAGTTGCTGAATTGTACACCAGAATTAAGGAGAACGGGTACCTAAATTTTTTGCTTGATGAAGACATCGGAAGCGAGAGTAAAGATGATCGTTTCAAATCATGCACTGAACTTTTCAGTTATCAGTTGGTTTATTTATCATCCCGAGCGATCGGTCAGAGCTATTATACGAAGAAATACTTGCAAAGTATTGCGCAGAATGCGAAATTTTTACCAGATGGACCTTTATTTTTGTCTCCTACTTCTGTTCTTATGGCATTTAGAAGGTATTTTTGTTAATTGCAAGTAAATAGAGCTCCTAATTTTTATTGTATTTCTGTGTAAACGTTTTTTTTTGTAGAGAAGTCATCGACCGAAAACCGGAGGAATTCAAAATAGCTGCCTTAACAGATCTTAAGGAATGTTTTCCGGTGAAGAGACCCTTTTATGCCGGATTTGGGAATCGCGAAACAGTTAGTTTTATTGTACGTTCTCCCAAAAAATGGAGAATTATTATAAATTGCAAATTGCAGGACTTGTTTGACTTCTTTTAAAAGACTGAGGTTGTCAGTCATCCAGTCATGAGCGACTGATGAATTTCTTTGTCACAGCATATGTCATTCGTTGAAAGGTTGTTAGTGATTCCGGCTCCTGAGCACTGTTTAGGCACGTCTGAGCGATTTAGGCTTTTTGAACACCAGGTAATCGAGGGCCTACGTACCATCGAAGATAAGCAGCTGATATTAAGTGACTGTTTTGCTAGCAGTAGTGTGCTAGCACTTGGACAGCAGCGTGAAACACTGTTGTCGTGAAATGTAAATTTTTGTTAATGTCAGCACGCTCTGAGTTGGGTTTTTGCACTGTAGGACAAGAAAGCTTTTATCCAGGATGTGGTGAGTTATCGAGCGGTGGATATTCCTCCTGATAGAATACTGATTATCGACAAGCAGGGTCGTGTTAGACGTGCTGATTCCATTGGCTTTGAAACGTCATTTATGTCGTTGGCGATGGAAACCGTCGACTACATATTTCCGCCACTCATCCGTCGACGAAGTGTCCGGGAAGGCAAAGATGTACCAAAGAAAAATTCGTACGTGCTGGAACCTTCGTTTTATAAGGCGCATGCATACAGGTTCATTCAAGTTTCTTCTTGCTGAGTGGCAAAATCGAAACAGCATCCAGGCATCACTCGGAGAAGAAATTCATCGTGTCCGGGTCATCAAAATTTTTTAGAACTTAAACTGCATTTTTTTTTAAATGTGTTTTTGCATTTGTGTGGAAGAAGGTGCATTAAGGCGATGCTGTGCCTATATGTGTGTATGATTACGTGCGTCTGTGCGTGCAGCTCAGCACCAAATTTACATAAACTTCGAAGCAATGCCTTGGCCTTTTCAATCACATACATAGAGTCATCTCACGGCTCCTTTTGTATTTCATTTGGCAGTCTGAATCTCACACCCAAAATAAAATTTTGGCTCGAGCACCCGCTTAGAGAGAGGTGTTTTGTTTGGTTTCAGCTTTGAACCGAACATTTTATGCGCTTTTACGAGCGAAGGCTCATGTCGCAACTGTAAGACCAGCAAACTGTTAACGCAAAATATTGCTTCTCGCTCACTAAACCAATTAAAAAAATTATGACAAATTTCTTTTTATACCACATATAGTATATTATTCATAGCTAGCGGAGCACCGGCAACAAGTATACTGTAAAAAACGTAACTGCGTCTTCGCAGTAGTGCGCACCATTTTTGTTTTTCAGTGATTTCACACACTGGCAGTCGAAACCAGGGCAGGCAATTCAGTTGGATGATTCCACACTGGAGCGGTATGAAGCAAAGAGAAAAAGTCTTCGTTCCAAACGGAAAAAGACTTGAACCTGGTGGAAGGCTGAACTTGTTTGAACATGATTCAGGATAATTGTTGCTCAGATCGATTGTATAATGGTAAAATTTTAACGTTTTGGGGATAGCCCGTTGCAGATCATTACTGATTGGCTGATCTCAAGGAGCTTTTCTCAGGGTTCGCTTTTCAAAATTCTCTTTTCACTGTTTCTGATTGAGATTTTCTTTTTCTCAACTTATCTGCTTTTAAAGTACCTGTATTTTTGAAAATTTTGAATAGCATTAATGAATAGCTTTGCATTTCGGCAATTTCATCTTTGCAAATCCTAAATGACGGGCCAGGCATGCTCACTTGTTATTGCTTTCTTCACTTTCTCCATTGGGTGAATTAACTTGAATCCTATTTTATTTTTTGCTCTTTCTTTCTAGTGCTGAAGATTGGAACAGAAATTTCAAGTCAAGCTGGAAGGCAGTTGGTTAATAGTTTTTCTGTCCCATAACGCCCCCTTAGCCATTTAAAATACCTTTTTTGACTACCATAGATTCCTTTGTGCTAAAGCACGTTTGTGATAGATCGTTTACTGGCTGCATAAGGGACTGGTACAGGTTTAGATGGATAGTCGGTGTGAGTGTCCATGTAATTCATTCAGATTAATAGCCTTTAAACTGTGCACAGCTTTCTGATTAAAAAGAGCAAGGGTTTTGTTCTGAATTTCCAAACTACTGATAAAAATGAAGGTTTTTTTACTGAGATTCCAAAATTATTTTGCTTCCACGTGAAAAGACTTAGTTGTCTCAGCAGTTATTATTCCAAAGTAGATTAAGGATCTACTCCTTATTTCGATTTACACAGTTTCATTCCGATGATAGCTGTAAACATACGGGCGATGGTTTTTCATTATTTTTTATTTTGAATGGTGTTTTTTGCCCAGTTCTGCGAATATTTACGTTCCGGCGGTTCTGCTCATATGCTATTGCATTTTATTTCGTGGCTATTGCTGCTGCTGCCGCTACTGCTGTTGCAGTGCGTCTATTTCGAATTTTGTAAGATATTTGTATAGAAATTTATATGAACAGGTGTACCTTACATGTATCTACATAGACGTGTATAATTTATATGAATACATATATACATAAATGTGTGCGTAAGCTTTTGTTCACACTACTTTTCCTTGTAGGCTCTTCGAAATGTCATTTACGTGAGAACTGGTTTGCTATATTGCAGGTTTTTTTTTGTCGTTGTAACCAGTTGCTGGTGGTGGTATGACTTTTTTTCAGTATATTTGCGCTGGCAAAGTTTATCACAGTTATGCCCGGCATGAGGGCGCATTTCAGCAGTATCAGAAGTCTACACCAGCTGTTCTGTGGTCCCAGTGAATTTGCTAATTTACCCACTTAATCAAGTGATTACTTCTGCGCTGCTGTAGTGGATAAAGCATCGTGTATGTGTGTGCTGCGCTTGCATCTTTATTGGACGATAATTAGGAATTTTATACATTGATTGTACTGTATTACTGATGCCTCAAAATAAAGACGGAATAATTCCACCCAGTAATGCACCTGCTGATCATTCAAGAATTGAAAATAGAAGCAGTCACCAGTCACCTTTTTCGAAACCGTTCTGGAAATATGCAAGAATCACTCGGTTTCTGGAACCAAATGGTTCTGAGATGCAAAATTGCATTTGTATGTACACGGATGGGTTCATAAGCATGGGTTTTTGTGTCTGCATACGAATGCCTATTACATATGTTCGAAAAGTTTGTGCTGGCACGCGTGTCCGTGTATGTGCATCTTATAACATTGCCGGCATATACATGTGAATGCGGCAAAAAATACCACATCAATTTTACCTCGCAGGGACGGTTCTTTTTTTGCCCAAACTTGATAGGAAAGTGCCAAGATCTCATATTCTGTGTTCGTTTTTGATATTATAATTTTCAGGTCCATTTTTCTGCTTAATGCTCGAGCTCTAAAAACATCACATTCAGAAGCCATCTTTGACTGATTTTTTATGCGTTTTTTGCAGCAATGCAATGCGGAAAACGCACATTGACGAGAGGTTGTTTGTGTGTCCGTGTGTCTCTGTGTGTGCGTCTGTCACGCACTTTCATCTCAGGACCTATAAAAGCTGCGGGGCTGAAATTTCG